CCCTAACAAATGAATTTCCCAACTGTAACTGTTAGGAATTTAAAAGTGAAGTAAATTAAGATTTCTCTCAAATTTTCAAGTGTATGCAGTATTTATTTGCTAGATTTATATCCTGCCTGCTCTTTGGGAGTTTTAAGGCAATGTACGCAATACATCACACCAATCTCATATGGTAAGTTGGGCCTGTGTGATGGTGACCATCTAAAGTCACCTCAAAGGTTATATGTGTGAGATAGTACATGGGCATTATCAATTCACAATTGAATTGTGTCAAAAACTCATTGTTTTGTTGAGACCTTCAGAGATCACCTGAGTGCAAGTTGAACTTAAGTGCTGTTAAAAACCCGATTTTCTAAAACAGTCACTGTTTCAGAAAAAACAGTCTTATTTAGGTCTTATTATTTAAGACCTAGTTTTGTGACTGTTGTGTTATCACTTTCACAGATAGGCTCCAAAGATTTCAACCAGTTTTGGAAAGTTAGGGCTGATGTTTTTTTTCCCCAATTGGGTTATGATTACTTGTAACCTACAACTGCCTAACCTACTTGTCTCCCTTCCTTAACTACCCACCCACCTCCATCCTGCTGGTTCATCCCAGTTAAAATCCTGGATCAGTCTAGTCCAGGGTTTCTCAACCCTGGCGACTTTTAAGTGCTGTCTGGGGAATTCTGGGAGTTGAAGTCCACAGATCTTAAAGTTGTCAAAATGGAGAAACACTGGGTTAGCCACTCTGGGATGAAGATTTAATGAAGGGGGCTGCAGCTCATGAAAGCTGATGTCTTTTAATAAAATGTGTTGGTTGGAGAAAGTGATACCAGACCTCTCTTGATTAGTTACTATTGCAGACTTAACACAGACCTCCTCCTGCAATGCCAAAGTTAGACTTGAGCCTATGTCCCCAGTACTAACTCAACAACGTAAGGTCTGGTCCTCTCAATAGCAAGTAGCTCAAAAGAACAATCTGCTCCAGTTCCTGTGACATAAATGCTGCTTTGACCAATAAAGTTCTATCTGGCTTGGCATCTAACTTTTCCAACCAGAATAAAAGTGTTGGGAAAAACTGTTTTCCTTCCCAGAAAAGCTATTAATCATTCCTCATTTCTATGAAGTGAGGAAGCTGAGGCCAGCAACGGTTCTTCTACTGCTGCCCTGATCCTATGGTTAGGAGCAGATACGCTCCTTCCCTGATGGGATTCAAGAAAATGCTACAAAGACTTAATGCAATAGCAGTTAGACTTAGATACCACTTCATAGGGCTTTCAGCCCTCTCTAAGTGGTTTACAGAGTCAGCATATTGC